ATATATAACTGAAGTTTGGTCATGAGCCAAATGTAATGAGTAGAGTGGATTTAAGTGCATCTTGATATATCTTTTTTAGCACCATTTTAGAGAGGTATGGAAAAAAGTTGGGTTGAGACTTGAGAGAAAAGACTTGTTAAGTTTTTACAGCAGGGAAAGGCTATTCAAAAAGGGCATATGATCTTTTCTATTAGTCTTTTTTTTTTTTTATTACTTTGCTTTGTTTGTTGGTCATGGATGTGAACGCAAAAACTTTTTCAAAAATAAAAAAAAAAAAAAAAAAAAAAAAAAAAAAAAACTTTTTCAAGGCATAAATTAATGGTGACTAGAAATATATGCCTTGGTTCACGTGATCATGCCATGTGAGTTTTTCTTTGCAAAGGGAAAGTTAGAATTCGTTGTATGTGTGCTTAACTTGGATTTTGATACACAAGTTTCCAACTTGTTTCCCTTTTCTGACCCTCCCTGGCTTGTGGCGTCATTTGACCATGCTCATCATTTTCCCTTTCTATCTCTAAGATCCTAATGCTAGATTTATAGAAATTCAGGGTCACACTCATCCTTTGAAAATTATAATTGCGTGTAAACAAAGTTTATCTAAAACCAACTTACAATACCAGACACACGGTTAAAAAAAATGTATTCCACTGATAAGATCTATTTGGTTTAGGTTTAAACTACAGTTTAAATATGTTTGTTATAGTATTCTCTTTCACTAAATAATTAATTTATATTCAAAGTTTTTATTCGAACTTATGAAGCAAACCGACCAAAATTTTCGACATTATTATATAACTTTTTTTTTTTTAGAGTCGACATATTAGAACTTAGAAGTTACTAGCACATTAGGTGAGCTGAGAAAAAAATTAAAGCAAATCAAAGAACTTAACCGTCTTTTTACGAAGCAAAAACACCACATATATACGATCAATACTAAGATGAAACGTTCTACATATATATATATATGTACATATGTATTATATGTATATAGTAGATTGTATTCATTTATTATAGAGAAGGCATCGTTGATTTACTTATATACATATATGCATAACTGTGAATTGATATGCATTCATGAATGCACACATTACGAAAGAATTAGGAGTCATGCATTCGATTTTTGCAGATAACGAACAAAGGGGTGCTCTTAAAAACCCCCCTCTCCCGCAATCCCAACAGAAAACAACCATTCAGACAGGCGTTGGGAAATGTGGATATACACATGATGTATTATATATATATATATATATATCTCTCTGCGTATATAATATATATCAATGTCAAAACAAATCATCTTGTTAAGTGGATAAGACATTTCATCATTCCGAGGAAAAAAACACTGAAATTTAGATCCTTGGACATCACACATTTACTAAATAATTAACCAACCCTAAAATGTTTCTGTTTCTTAGGAAATCAGGACAAAAAAGGCAATCTAACTTGCGTTTCTTTATCCTTATAACATCTTGAATGTGACCATTATGTATAAAATTAATATAATCTAAAAGTGAAATCAAAACATTCCAAAACAAATATAAAATCAGACACTTCATCCATTCTTTGCTTCCATACCTCCAATTTTTTTTAATATAATATAATTAAATAATAGAGTTGTGGGGGTGGAAATGAAGATTTTGCCTGCTTTAGTCTATGCATTACTAGATCCTATGTCTTATTGTCGCATTATCTAACCATATATTAAAGAATGTCACATATCATATACTTTTTACAACTTTTTAATATTAATTTACTTTGCCTCTGAGAGATTGGATGGTTTTAGAATATCAAAAGGGACAAGGGGAAGGATGGGAAGAGCAGAGATTCCACTTCCTTAATGAAAGAAAGGGATGGGGCATTGTTCAACACCAATTATCTTGACCAAGACTATTGTGCCATTCTTTCGTCCCATACCAACTTCTCATTTTGTTCAATCATAAATATTTTTTATAAAAAATTGCACTGGCATTTTGATGACCAAGACTATATGTAGTTAAGTCTCTAATTTCAATTCTTATTTCTTCATTTATCAAAAATAATAATAGTTATAATTCACAAAAGGAAATGGACCAAAGACCAACTATACATACATATCAATTCATAATATGATATACCCACCAGAACCGTCACCACCATCAGAAAAATCCAAAGCTCATTCAATATTTTGCCCTAACACATATACAATCCTTTTTGCTTACGTCACTTCCACAGACCCTGTCTCCAAATTCTAGTATATAATATATTTTTTTCTACATTCATGAATTATAAGATTTTTTTCAAGCTACAATAACAGAACCCCATTATAATAACCCTACTCTCTCTCTCTCTCTCCAGTCTATCTCTCTCTTTCACATAGAGACACGTTGTGGGTTGCCTTCATAAGAGAAGAAGCCAAAGAGAAAAATTATGGACATTAGCAATATTGTCCGTCAGAAATGAAGTGTGGCAACTGTTTTGGTTATATTGTGAAAAAATTACGTACATATATACATAATTTACTGTCTGCAGTATAGTACTAATGAGAGGACACTTTCTTGTAATAAACAGACGGTCAAAGGGACAGTATAATGCTCTGTCAAAAATTTTCTTGTTTGTCAGGGGTGGGGAAATGAAAGCACTGAAAGCTCCTTTGGTCATCATGTTGTTTACAGACGAGAGAGAGATAGAGAGAGCGAGCCACAAGTGAATAACTATACATACATATATACACACCAATATTGCGGTTTTTTTTTTTTTTTTTTTTTTGTTCTTTAAATTCGGAGACTGTGACCTACTACTAGGAAAGTACACTTTTACATGACTCTCCATGTAATACTGTAGTACGCAGTTTTGGACGTTTCAACGTTTTGTATAGTTTTTGCTCTCACTCTTCCCGTTGTTGATCTTTACGGCTCAATGAAAAGCAGTTTTTAATTAACTTGTACATATAAAGTGTGTGTGTGTGTGTACATACATACGTATATTATATATATATATATATATATATATATATGCATATAGCTATGTGGATTTATAAACTTTGCATGAGTCAGAAAAATGAGTGAGGAATCATGTAAGCTTTCCGTGTTCTTGCTGATGAATCATTCAGTACACTGGACAGGCCAGTTTTAGATCTGTCCAAGAAGTGCCACATGTAGACAATGCTCATTTAAACTAATTTACATCAAACTAAAGAAATTGATCTTGGAGTGGTGAAGCCTCGCATGCCGTGTGTGTGTGTGTGTACATATATGTATGTGTGTGTAATTAATCATGATATGTATATA